TCTGTCTCTCTCTGTCTGTCTGTTTGTCTCTCTCTCTCTCTCTCTCTCTCTCTTTCTCTCTCTCTCTTTCTCTCTCTCTCTCTCTCTCTCTCTCTCTCACACACACGCACGCACACATACACACTACACAAACAAGCACACAGACAAAAACCCTCCCACAATGGAATTAATATTATCATTACAACAGAAGACAGATGTACCATATACATACAGTACAAAAAGATATATTTTCAACTCCCGAGAAACAATCCATAAAACCCTCGGAGTAACTGATAAGAAAGCACCAAGGGAATCCAGAAAAGCAATAACAAAAATTATGATAAAAACATAAGGAAATCACAAGCACCACCACACGACATCAAAACAACCACTAAAGTCACCATCATCACATCCACCTTCTCGACTACATTATTAACAATTTATACAAAAAACCCAAGGCTAGCAACAAAATTCTCCATCAAAATCAATCAATAGATTCTTTGAAAGACAAAGGCGGGTGGTTTGAGGACACCGTTTGTGAGTTTTACTTTTCTCTCTCTCTCTCTCTCTCTCTCTCTCTCTCTCTCTCTCTCTCTCTCTCTGTCTCTCTCTCTGTTGTTTCAATGCTCTTGCATTATGTTTTCCCTGCACTAAAATGTTATTATAATCGTTATAAAATATATGTGCTTCTCTTTATACTTGAAATAAAACAAAAGAGCACGCCAACACAAATCAACATACAGTCTTTCTATCTGGACTACCCACAAATATCTAGAAATGCAATTTTAGAAGTTTTACATCCTGATCGACACAATTTAGATCATTCAGGAGTCGGGCTGCTTCTACTTCGCCTGTCAGGAAAAACCAGGGTTGATACTCGATAGAAATTCCCTCTGCATGGGCATCGAACATACATCTCCTGTGTGCGACTGAAAAGCACCAAGCTGTTATACCACAGGCATGGGTATCCATGCCCCTTTCTTTACCAAAAAAAAAGGACCTTCAACTTGAAAGGAACAAAAGTACTTACTGGAGAGAAGATGAAAAAAAACAAACAAGGGAAGACACCGCTACTCACCTTCACTTGAGCCTTAGTCTTGGCCTCCTGAAGTCAATACTCCGCGAGACGCATTAACACGTCTGTTCAAGGCAGAGTCGCCTTCCCTTCGCCGTGACATTCTCGCCTCTCAGTGCAGGAGAGCGGCACAACTCGCGAGACAAGGGGGAGTAATCGAGGACACCGTTCTGGCATCCGGCCAATCGCAGAGCGGAGACCCTCATATCCCCAGACGGTGATTTCGTGAGCGATTACTTTCGCCCTGTCTGCTGTGATGTGTAGAACATGCCCGTGTGTTTTGGGATGTTTGTTGTCGTGTCGTTGAGCTAGATGAAAAACAATACGATGTTTTACTCTTTAACTCTTCTTCTACGAATCCAGAATCGTTGATATGGCGTTCATTTTCTTTTTTTCCCTTTATTCCTTTTTGGTTCTTGATGCTTTAAACCTCTCCCTATGCCAAGCCACAATTGTTTATGTCACCCCATCATTTGTTCTTCCTTTTCTTTTTCATGCTTGAAAAAGCCTCTTATTATATCAGTCCACGATCATTAGATCTAGTATACTCTTCATCTTCCATCGGTTTTCAATTTTGATTTCTCCATGTATGGAGTCTTCCTTTGCACACCAACACTCGATGGCGTCGCTTGCCACCTTGTTTTTGGGGGTTTTTTTGTGCTAAATTATATTTCCATTCCGGGATAGCGACAGTTCTAATGTTCACTAGATCTAGATCTAGTAGAAACGAATTGATTCTATGGCGGAGCGGTTAAACGTTTCACACTTGCAGAAGTCGTGAGTTTGATACCTGGCACCAGAGGATTTTTTTTGGGTAGATTATCATTGTCTCTGCTAGGGTGTTGTATTCCATTCAGTTGGGTTGACAGTGACAGGCAGAATAGTAGCAACCCACCTCCTATACGATCTAAATTGTGTCAATAGAAACATGTTCAACACAGCTACACTATATTAGTGTATTATTACACTATCAAAAACGCAACGTGCGCAAGTCTAGACCTGCCTCCACCACAAGTCCAACAGCAGACTACCCGTGCCCACAATGTGGGCGAACCTTTCGAGCCCGGATAGGACTAATCAGCCATCTCCGGACTCACAGAAACCGTCAACAGACCAATTTGTAAAGTCATGGTCATCTTCATATGCGAAGGGCGAACAACTCTATATTAGCAGCGAGCACCCTCGCTAAACATTTCATTGGAAACAGGCGACACTGTTGATATCTAGGGCAAAAATAAATCCAGTAACTGGTCTCTCCCAACACTCCATTTAACGGACTGGCGTCGCATAAACGAAGAAAAGTTCAAGTATTGAAAGAGTTCAGCTAGCAGCAGAAAACACTGGCTAAGGTCGGACACAACAAGAGCCACACTGTACCACGACACGGTGGAATCAGACGCTGGTCGATTTTTGGCACAATCATAGAGTTATCGGTATAATCTTTGAGCTGGTTCATCTGCTTCGCTTTTGATTAGAATAATATAGCTACCTGTCTTGAGCAGACTTCGAGATATTTGCAAGTGAGGGAGGCGGGGGTCGCCTTGTGTAAGAGGTAACATTAGCGAGAAAATAGCCGCCAAATCGAGGTTACTTCTAAAGTTTGAGGTTCTTTTAAAGCTGCAAAAGTACATTTTTGTGCCTTTGATCAACGTTTTCAGTGAAATTCACACAGAAATGTGTTTTAAATGGAAATAAAAGTGTTATAAAGAAATAAAAAATGTTGAGTCCAAAACATAAATTATATTTATATATATAAATAGCGCAACAAGCGAGGAAAGACCTGTTTCTTCGATTTTATTACACTTTGACGAGAGCCTGATTTCACAACAAAGCCACATAATGTATTAATTTTTAATGTCAAGTATAATGACAATTAACTCTTAATCCTATTTAAACAAACTTTTGAAGTTTGTCTGTCAGTCAGTTAGTTTGTCTTTTTACCTGTGTGTCAGTCTTTCTGTCTGTCTGTCTGTCTGTCTGTCTGTCTGTCTGTCTGTCTGTCTGTCTGTCTGTCTGTCTGTCTGTCTGTCTGTCTCTCTCTCTCTCTCTCTCTCTCTCTCTCTCTCTCTCTCTCTCTCTCTCTCTCTCTCTTTCCCTCTGACTGTCTTTTTAAAATCTTTTGACCATTTACCATAGTATTCCTTCTCACGAGCAGTTCTCAACAACACAGTGAAAAAAAAAAATAAGCAACAAGAAAAGACCCATGTAATTAAATAAAAAACCCAACACAAAACAATGCGATACAAACCAAACAAAAAAGGTCCCAAATAAACCAAGCACAAAATGAATCCCTTATACCAAAGCAGTCGAATTTAAAGCAAACAAAATTTAAATAGATCTCCCAAAGAAGATACATAAATTCAAACCATGAAAGTAATACAGCTCTAACTTACATTAAATAAAGCACAAACCAATTAAACCAAACAAAATTTAAATAGATCTCCCAAAGAAGATACATAAATTCAAACCATGAAAGTAATACAGCTCTAACTTACATTAAATAAAGCACAAACCAATTAAACCAAACAAAATTTAAATAGATCTCCCAAAGAAGATACATAAATTCAAACCATGAAAGTAATACAGCTCTAACTTACATTAAATAAAGCACAAACCAATTAAACCAAACAAAATTTAAATAGATCTCCCAAAGAAGATACATAAATTCAAACCATGAAAGTAATACAGCTCTAACTTACATTAAATAAAGCACAAACCAATTAAACCAAACAAAATTTAAATAGATCTCCCAAAGAAGATACATAAATTCAAACCATGAAAGTAATGCAGCTCTAACTTACATTAAATAAAGCACAAACCATTTAAACAAAACAAAATCAAGCCTCGAAAAAAGCAAACTAGTTAGAAAGCAAGTAATAAAGAATTTCCTAAATATTACTAAATCAATTCACACCAAACCAAATAAATCTCCCAATTAAACCACACCAATACAAATCAAACAAAACAACGCTCCAAAATAAACAAAAGCAATAAATATCAAACAAAAATTAAACTCCCAAATAATAATAAACCTGTCCAGTATCAAAACAAACCACTACTCATCCATCTAGGGCGAGCCCCACTTTGAGCTCTCCACCTCAGTGTTATGTAATCCGATACATGGCTCCCCAGACGACAATTTCCTGAACGATTTCTCTCCCTTCGTTGGCTCTGATGGTCTGGGCATAACAGTGTCTGATGTTTGCATGAGGAAGCTTGAAATGTAAAAAGAAAATGAAAAAGAAAAAGAAAAAAAAAGACACACAAAAAAGTCCTAAGAAACTCAAGAAACTAATTTCATAAGCCAGCTGAGCTTTTAATATTTTAATGTAGCCTTAGGGTTTTTATGCCTTCATCGATACAATTCGACCCTACCTGTCAGAGTCAAACCAGTTTTGGGGCTGGGGGGAGGGGGAGGGGGGAAGGAAGGGGGTCTCGAGGCCAAGAGGTTGCGGTGTTCGCCTCTCATTCAATAGGTCCCAGGTTCCCTGTCCGGGTTCAAATCCCGATATCGACAACAATTTTTCTTCTCTAAATTGTCTCCTTTCTCCTTTCACCTCCTTTTCTGCTCTCAAACACTATTGTAAACACAATTGTGCAGTCAACATAAACAAAAAATACCATGCCTTCAGTAAATAATAAACACTTTGTCAACAGCAAACGCTAAATAATAATAACAATAATAATAATAATCATCATCATCATCATCATCCGGTGCCTTGCCGACTGGCGTGGGCGACCATGGACCTCCACTTCACCCTGTCCTTCGCTGCAGCAATGGTGTCTGTTGTTCTTGCTGCTCCCAATCATGTTGTCATCTTGTCCAGTATCTTTTCCCTCTGTCTGCCTCTGCCTCTCTTTCCATCAAACTTTCCTGTTGTGACAATACTATTCTCTAATGCTTCTTTCCGCATTGTGTGTCCGAAGAAATTTGCCTGTCGTTTTCTTATATTCGTGATAATTTGTTTTAATAATAATAATAATAATAGTAATAATAATAATAATAATAATAATAATAATAATAATAATAGTTAAGTAAATTATAATATACTTTGTCTTTACTATTACTACAACTACAACAACTACTACTTTTACTACTACTACTACTACTACTCAGTGGCGTCGCGTGGGCTGCAGACAAGGTGGTTCATAATTGGAAAGTGATATAATTACTTCGTGCAGCACCAACAAACAATTTGCAGATTTACCTTAACAGGACTTGCTACACAAAAAGAAAACTCCGAGAAAACAGTTTTGATACCCATTCTTCACTGAGTTAGCCTTTCCGTAGACTCTAGTGTAGTAGATAGGCTAGCGGAAACTTGGATCAAATTTTTTGCTTGCACCAAATTGGTGTCTCGAAGAGGAGTTAAATGCACCTTTCTTCTTTTCTTGAGCGGGAAGAACTATGTCTAGATTTCTCTACAGTGACAAAATTGCTTTGGGGCAAAGATTTTGCTTGCTCCCAGCAGACACTACCGCAAACGGTGCCACGAGCATAAACCATCCTCGCCGTCTGTCTCTTCACTTCGCTGGCACAGCCAGCGGGTGACGGATTGCAAGGATGTACATGTAGTATGTAGATATCTAGAACACTGACTGGTTTAGAACAATTAGAAAATGGGGGGAGGTGGGAGGGGGGAGGGGAAGGCCAGGGTTAGGTGGAGCACTTGCACCAATTGAACCAATGGCACCCCGCCACTACTACTACTACTACTACTACTACTACTACTACTACTACTACTACTACTACTAAACACTGTCTAGCAGAATCCAAACCACTGAATGGCCCATACGACTGTGTGACCAAAACCTAACAACTTGTGGCACAGGAAACAGTAAAACCAACATATTTATTAAAATTGTGTCATGGCGCGATGAAATCAGGTACTCGACAATTTCGGGGGCACTTGGAGTTGTTGGTATAATGTCAAAGCCTGTTGATTTGCTTCCCTTTTAACAACAAAAAAACCTACAAACAACAACAAAACAAAAACAAAACAAAAAACAAATAAAACAAACCAAAGCACCTATGGTGAATTGAAGTCGAGATATTCGAGATTGGAGTCGATGGAGGTCGCCTGATGTCAGAAGTAAAATCA